GAGAGCCCTACGAGTTCAGAGCGAAAGCATTAAAATGTAACCTCTTCTCTTTTTCTACTCATAAGCACAGGCTTAAATGAAAAGAAGGAGAAAAAAAGAACCTTGAATTTATTTACAAAAAGGGACAAGTTGAGAAAAATTCTAAAATCGGTGCCAAGTTCACTGGATCATGGTAGAAAGAGTCCAGTAAGCTGATGTGCGATAAGCGCAATTGGTGATTTCATGACATCAGTTAATCCTGTCTCTACCTAGCTTAAAAAATACCTAGAACTATTTAGTGCCAAAAGGGTAGGCATTGTTAAAAGATGAAGAAGACCGAGGCTCTGAGAAGCTAAAGAACTTATTGAGGCAAAGTCAGTATAAGAAGCATGAGCAGCATGTCACGACTACCAAACATGGATGTTTATGCCCTCTCCAGTACAGGCAGCTGGCTTTCTTGAAGAACAGAGAAGATAAATGCTATTCGGCTGTCCAGGAAACAAAATGGCTTGGGAAAATTAAAACAGATATGAGTTGCTCAGAACTTTATGAAAATCCACTTGTCACTCCATTTATGAAACATTTTTATCATTTGCCAGTTAAAATCTACAGAAACGTGAGATTGGTATCTGAAATGATTTTTAAGATCATTACCTCTATGCATATTCATTTAATATCTCTGTGCCCACTCCATATCCGTAGCTACATTTTTCCCAACCCCAAAGCCACCATTTTGGAAGCATCAGTAAGTTAGCTGTGGTTTCACAGAGTTCATTCACTAGCTACACTTCTCCCATAAAGTTCACCATATTGACTGAAATACTGAAATAATCTTCTTTTTCTTTCAGTCTTCCAAACATACTTCTTGTGAGTTTAATCAAGGAATCGGGAAAGACAGCTGGAACCCAAAAGCAAAATAGTATCAATTACTAATATTTCCCATTCAGGCTTGTCTTATCTGAAGCTTGCAAAATTTTTTAATCTTTTCCATCATCGCAGGGAAAAGAGAGCCTGGAAAATCCTGGTCATTTCACAGAAAGTATCAGTGGGATTTTCCATAACTATCTGGATAAAAAATGAAAATCTTAAGAAGTTGATCCAATTCTAAAACTTACTTCTCATCTTATTAATAAATACAAAGACAATCCATCTACATTTTCTTCAAATAACATCTGCCTGCTTGGCCAGACCACTGATACCTGAAAAATGTTTTTGAGTTTGTCCCAACAAATTTACGTTTAAGGAGTTTAAAATGCATTTATGCACTAAACATTCTTTCTACATATGACTTAGGGCCAGAGATGGAATTGTGAGACAGAACCTCTCCAAGAAGCTGGGGAAAAAGAGGAATAAAATCACCTTCTAAAAAATTAAACTGTGAAACCAACACTTAATGTACCGAAGTAGAGAAGTGGGAAATCACCATAAAGAGACACAAAAGCTTCTGGGCCAGCAAGATTTGGCCATAATGCCACTAAAACTGTAATACACACATCTAAACACCATACTAATCATTCATGGAGTCATACAAGAAGGAGAACTGCTAATATGGCCTTGAGCAGTACCAACTATGCTCTGTTCAGAGTGGAAGCAGTCTAAACCAGCAGAGTAGGGTAGCAGAGAGAAACACCAGCAAGGCTCCCCAATCATGAAAATGAATGCTATCACTCCCTCTTCACCTGATTACCATAAACATTGCTCTGGCCAGCCTGACTTACTTATGATGGAAAACTTAACATTGTGCATACGGTCTAGCCTAAAATAGGCAATCATCAAGAATTTGTTCAATGCATTTGCCCCAACTCTTTCTCCCAACCTCCTGATTATAATTTGGCTCCCCACATGGTTTTGACTACAGGGAGAAAATGACCTACTCTTACAGATTTGAGAATGCCGCTCTCCATGCCAGCTATAAAACTCATTGAAATACAGTTTAGCATTGGAGTCTGAATACCTTGAGTCTGCTCTCAAAGGAAGAATACTTACGTGTGCTATGGAATCAAGTTTCTAAGCCCACATGGCTGCCATTCAGTTTCTGTGACATAGGAAATTTACCAGGACCATGATGGTAGCGGTGATAGTGGGACCAATCACAACTACGCATTAAACAACTTCTAGGTACTATTAATGCTGAGCTATGTGATTTAGCTATGTGAACTCATCTCGTCCCCACATTCATCTAATAATAAAATACTTATCACAAATACTCTTATTTTGTAGAAGAAGAAACTGAATCTCAGAAATCTGTAGCAATTTACTCAAAGACCCACATTCAGAAACTGAATTCAGACCTACACTTGTCTGACTTTAAAACCAAATTTCTTAATTCATAAAAATCCTGCTATCTTTGGGGGAGATGAAGCTGCACCCTCCTCGTGGCCATACTCCTCAGCATCAGCAGTGAGTTTGGGGCCATTCCAGTCCATCTTCACCAGGACTACTCATCAATACACTGCTACCATACTAACCTTCACATAAATGTGCACAAAGAGTAGTGGTTCACTCTTAATCAGAGTGGAGAACGCCAACCCCTGTCTCACAGAGCAGGGGAGCCTCTTTCATGACTCCTTCTTCTCCCTTCACCCCTGTCACTGTCCGGTTCTTTACACATCCTTCAGTAAAACTTCTCTCACGCTTCCCTGCCCACTTCTTCCTATCCCCATTGCTACTACCCTTCTGGCACCTGAACCTCCACAAAAATCTTGGTGTTTTTGCTCTGCACTGCTCCATTTTGCATTCAGTTCTTGAGAATGTGTTCTCAATGATACACTCAGAAATCTTTATGCCATCCCATCATGACATGTCGATGACACTCCACTGTGTAAGCTCCTTCAATATGACCCCTCATTGTACTGTAAGCCTCAGCCCTCATAGCAATTAGTCAGCCCTGTACACTCCTATAGGCCTGGAGTTACTCTGCACCAGTTTTCTCTCCACAACACCCTGGTCAGCTCATACAGGTGCTTTGGAAATTTCACTCATATTTCCCCTCCCCCAGGAAGCCTGGTTTAGGTGCCCATCACAGATGTTCTCCTCACACCCCAGCTCACCCCTCATCTCACTGTATAAGGATTTATGATTTATTTGACTCTATCCTTAGACTATGACCTCCTTGAAAACCGGGGACTCAAGCTGTTGATATACAGTGACATGAACAAAGTCTTGCTGAATGAATGAATTGGTGTAAACCTTATATTTCACAGGTGTCAGAATCCACCCATCTTCCTGAAGTCTCACCTGTGTAATAGTGAAAAAGTTCTTTAGTCTCCCTATCCCTCAAAGTCTGCTATGAAATGGAGATCATAAAACCTACCCTTGTTAAGTTGCTATGAGACTTAAACTAAATTGTATCATATGTGTAAAATTCTCAGCACCATGGCTGCTGTATAACAAGTACTTAAATGATAGTTACCATGTCCTTCAAGACCTAACCAAAATTGTTCATGTTCTTGAAAGTCTTTGCCTATATTCCCACTCTGCTGTTCCATGCCTCCAGGGATGCATGTACAGTTGTCCATCCCTCAGTATCCAAGGACTGATTCCAGGTTGTGGATGCACCTCAGTTAATGTCATAATATTTGCATGTAACCCACTTACATCATCTCCTATACTTTAAATCATCTCTGGATGATTTGTAACACCTAGCACATTGTAAATACTATGTAAGTAGATGTTACACTGTATTATTTAGGGAACAATGACAAGGAAAAAAGTCTGTACATGCTCAATACAGACACAAGCTTTTTTCAAATATTTTCCATCTGTATGAATCCTCAAATTCATACAGTTGGTTAAATCCTCAAATGCAGAACTCAAGAACATGGAGGGCCTACTACATTTCATAAAGCATCATCTCACATTCTGAACAAATTGCTTGAAACGTTCTGTCACTTCCATAGTTCCCTAAGATGCCTAACACTTCAACAAATGCATTTAGATATTATTATCAAGATTTCTGTTGTCTAGAAACTAACGGTGCCTTTTATCTCTGCTCTCCTTGCCCATTGGAGCCTTAAGCCTCACATCACCTTCTAATGATGAAATGCCACAGAGGCCAGTATGACCCTGAGAGAAATTCTGGAGGGCTGGGGCAGGGAGACAGGTGGTGATCCCAAATTAGAAATCAGGCCTTAAAGGGGCCAGAAGCAAAATGATGTCCCAGAAAAAGGGCATCCTCTGTGATGATTTAAGTTAGAAAGGTGAATTATCTAACCACAGTTAAATATGATATGTGTGTATCTAGCTGTGTGTGTGTCTATATGGATGCATATCTATATTATACACACATACGTCTATTACAGCATAGTCTTTCTGTGGAATACTGTGCAACCATTAAAAAATAGGTAGGAAGCAAAAATGCCAAGTAGGAACATGTAAGACACGAGGGTAAGTAATAAGAATGCGGATAATAGTATATGCTTTTGAGAGTAGTATGTAAAACTAACTTAAAAACAAAACCTTAAGGGAATAAACTAAAATATTAATAGTTGTAACAAGGTGATGAATCTGCAGGCAAAAATTTCCTTTTATCAATTCCCCACACCTTTTTGTAGTAGTGTCATTTTCCTTTAAATGTTTAAAAAAAAAATCTTAAAAAATGTGTACTCCGCTTGTGTCCCTCGCAGATGGCTTCTGGAAGAAAGGAATTCCCATAGAAGACCCGCCCTAGGCTTCAGAGGACTCCAGGAGCCATGAGCGTGACTCAGCAACGTGCAGACTTGGGGCAAACACTTGGGGTGCCGGGCTGAATCCTGCCATTGAGAGGTCATTTCTTTACCCACCGCGCTCCGCTGGGCATAACTGAGTGCCCACCGGGAGTAGGCCCTTAGTGGGCCCAACCCCAGACCATATGGTCCCCAAGACCCCCCTTCCATCCTCCTCCCACTCCTCTGCCCCCGGTTGTGAAAGTGCTCCTTGGGGGAGAGAAGGAACCCTTGGGACCCGAAAACCCAGCACAGGCGCAGGGCGCCTACATGGCCCTTGGCCCTTCCCGGGCCCGGCTGCCCACCCCGCGCCCGTACCTCTTGCAGGGGATCAGCGCCTTTCTCTCGTCCAGCACCCGCACGCGCAGGTTAAGCCCGTCGTAGGACAGCAGGGCGCGGCTGTTGTGCCCGCTTCTCTGCTCGTACAGAACCTGGCGTCCCTCCCACTGCTGTGGCGCCTGGCATGGGTGCGGCGCCCCCGGGGAGCCCGCCATCCCCAGGCCTCCCAGCGCCCAGATCCAGAGGCCGCCCAGCAGCCAGTAGCCCAGTGGCCCGCTGGCTACGCGTAGAGGAACGCGTCCTGCCATCGAGGTCAGCCGCCCCCCTGGAGCGTGATCCCGAGCCCGGGGGGACGCTGAGGGGCCCAGGCGCAGCGCGGCCCCGTAGGTTCTCTCTCTCCGTGCTGTGTGCACAGTGCGATCTGAACACAGGTGCTTGCTCTCCGCCTGGTGGTCTCTCCAGCTGTTGGGCTCTGGAAGCGCCAAGCAGGCCCGGGAACTGGGAACCCGGCTTGAGAAGGCAATGGTGAACCGCCTGGGAGCTATTTCTGCCTTGGCCGTGCTCACTGCTGCCAACAGGAAATGCAGTGGCAGTGGTGCCACTAGCATCCTGACTGGCATCTCGATCTAAGGGGTTGGGGCAGAGAAGGGGAAGGTGCAGAGAAGGGATGTGTTTCGCCCTCGAATTGCAGCGTTCAACTGGTAACCACACATTGGGGGTAATTTCAAGGTCATCATGAGGAAAGCAGAGCTGCTGCACTTGCACCCTGATGTAACTTGTCTCTTGGCAAAATTGCAACCGCTCTCCAAATTAAAAGTGTATAGATGGATCCCTTACTGAAGAAATTCATTATACCACTTTCCAGCTCCAACTCCCAGGTCTTTGCATTGGGTTGGGGGATTTTGTCCCAAGGTCTCATTACAGTAAGACTGCCCCTCTCACCACTACCGGCCACCTGGCTATGCCTCAAGCTCAAGTCTATGTGTCTTGGGATTTAGCATCTTCAAGTACAATGTTAATTAGGTTTATGTTCAAGTAAGCCAGGATCTATCATTTGAATTAAGAAAAAAAAAAGCAATTTTTGAAAAAAGTTCTTGCTTTCCAAGTTTATACCTTCTTACATTTGCACTTCACATCAAAGATGAGGAAGGGTGAGCAGGTGAAATTGGAAGACAGCATCTTGAATATGAGGTAGAATGTCAGGGTACAAGCACAAAGCAGAAGATGGTGTAGAGCCAGAGCACTCAGGCTTTAAAAATCACTTTAAGGTTAGTTCGAGAAGAATTAATTTAGAAGGTAACACACATGTACAGGAAATCAATGCATGTTAACTCCCTGTATACCTGTCCTTATCTCAACTAGCAAAAACCCTTGGTCCTTCCTATTATTGCTTATACTCTCTCTACAACAAAATTAGAGATAAGGGCAAAATAGCTTCTGCTGGGTAGCAAGGGGGTAGGGGTGGAGGGGGAGGGATGGGGTAGATAAGGGAGGGGGGGAAGGGGGGAGAAAGGACCCAAACATTGTATGCACATATGAATAAAAGAAAAAAAAAAGAAAAATCACTTTAAGGATTTGATTACTAATATACAGAATGAGGACTGAGGGAGCCATCAGTCAGCATAAAGATGAAGAGGGGTGTCAGCAGGTGTGTCCTCACTCAGGTGTCAGTGAGGAGAATGGGTAGGGACAGACAGGAGGCTGGAAAACAAAGCAGGAAACTGCTATAATCCAGGCAAGAGATCCTGGCTGAGCTAAGGTGGTAGTTGTGGGGATGGAGAAGGTGGAATGAAGTCAGGAATTACAGAGAAGGATTTCAATTCAGGGGCAAAGATTTCTGATTTAAGTCACTGGGAGATCTATTCTCAGTGAGGAAGGAAGATAAATTGCAGTTTGGCATGGCTGACTTTGAGATGGCTGTAGGATATTCAGGAAAAGACTGGGTAAAACTCCCAGAAATCAGCAGGGCTTTGGATTTGGAAGCCCTGGGCACACAGGTGGTCATTGAAAGCAGAGAGCAATGGTTTCTGAGGCAACTTTGCCCCCCACCTTCCAGAGGACTTTGGCAAGGAATTCTCTAGCCCTGAATGACAAAAGTGCCAAGATTGAGAAAATATGGATTAGCAAGGAGTGTTGAGAGTAAGAAGAGGGCAAGGATGGAAACTTAGAGAAAGCCAGCCATTTAAAAGGATAGGTAGAGAAGCAGACACTTAGGGAGACTGAAAGGGAGTCCCCTAAGAGAGGACCCTAGCTAGGGGATAATGGATTGAGTGCTCATGTCAGGTATTTCTAGAATCACAGCCTCCCTGGCTGGGGAGCAGGGGTATGAAAAGGAAGAGCAATTGAGTGAATCTGCTGATGAATCCCTTCTCTGATACTCCCACAAGAGATAGACCACCAAGACCACCAGTAGGCCTAACAGGGTAAGCAAACAGCTTTTAGGAAGAGATGCTCTTTGTTTTTTTCTCGCAATGCCAGGGACAAACTGGAGGCCTGGTGCATGCTTGGAAAGTGTTCTGGCACTGACTTATGCCCCCAAGACTGTACCTTAACCTCGCCTCACCATTTTCCAAAGGGCATTCAGTCAAAGAACATCAGGGAAGCCCATGAAACTTTGTGATGTGGTAGTTGCCTATTTGCAGCAGGATCAAACTGGCTTCAGAAGCCTGAGCCCTCTCTAAGTTTCCCTCCCTCAAACAACTCATAGGAAAAAATGTCAGAGGTTCTGCTCTTTCTCCTGTTCCCCTGGTAGAAACTTGAGTTGAAAATCTTTTTCACTCAGCCAGGAGTTCAGACTTCTGGAATTTCACTTCTGGGAAAGGTTGAGGATGTCATCTGGGCCACCCTCTTGCTGGATGTTTCCCTAGCCTGATTTGGTGACTTTGGTGCTTGAACCCTGTTCTATAGGAAAGCAGAATGCTTTTCTAGATTGATCTGAATATTATGATACTCTACAGTGCCCCTAAATAGCACCAGACTCCATGGGTGAACTCTGAACTATGTTTGTCTCATTTATCCCTTTAACTTACCAGGTTTAATTCAAGTTCCCTAAAATAAATAAATAAATAAATAAATAGCAATGCTTTTAAAGTGCTGCCTCCATCACTTGCCCATTGTAGAGACCCAATAAATTTCAACTGGGCTTATTGCTTTTTTCAGCTATTTTAATCCTCAGTCTTGATCAGATTCAAAGCAAAAATTTGCGGGTCTAAGCTTCAGAGAAAGAAAACAATAAAAAAAAACTGCCTCAAGTTCAGATTCCAAGTTAAATTATGTTTTAAGAGATTAACATTCAGAGAACATGTTTCTCCACTGCTGATGTCCTAAATAAATATTCATCAGAAGTTTTACTGCCTGAAATCTAATGTGAACTTGCAACAATAAAGCCCCCTTTTTCTGTGGATAGTGGAGCCAGCAGTTGGTTTTACTGCCTCTTCCTAATTCAAATAAAAGAGAAAATAAAGCGTACATACTTGCTTTCCACAGCACACAGTTTCTTATTCAATTCAAGCACATCAAAGTCCCCAAGCATATCAAAGACCAAGATTTTAAGCTGCTGGGATAGAAATCGCTTGACATAAAGGGGAAAAAAATCTTTCCGATTGTAGGGTCCCAAGTTATCTTTGTTCTCTCCCAGTTTCTACTCATGTTGGGGAGGAGAATAGGCAGTTAGAAGAAAGGGGGAATGGTGGCAGAAGACCTTTCTCAAACTAGAAGATGCTATTATACCTGGAGCTGGCACAAATCAAGTGCCAGTCTGGAAAACCTTGAGCCAGAACTAAGTCTATTAGCCACAACAACAAAAACAAACTCCACACGTCTACGGATGTTATTGTAGTCCCTCCTGTATGAGCGTTTACTCTGTTCTCCCCGGTCCATACAATGGTCTCACTACTCAGCGCGTCTCGTGCCCCCTAGTGGAGAAAGCGAATATGTTTCAGAATTAGGAAGCATTTCCCATTTCTTACCAAGTCTGCACTTAGAAACTGTAAGGCAGAGAGAGCAGAGAGTTTCTCTCTGTCTCGCAAGTCTTTCCTGCACCCTCTTGTATTCCGTGTCCAAAACGACTGACTGCCAGACTGTCTTTTTCTTAATCCGAAGAAAAAGGACTAGTCAGACTAAAAAGGAGGGACTTTGAGAGAATGCAAGATTCCAGCCCTTGGCTGCAGACCGGCGGAGATGATGTCACCGCTTCGCACCAAGCGGCCGTGGGTGGAGCAGCCGAGGGGGAGCCCGCGCCGCGCCTGCAGCTGCCAAGCAAGCGTTGGGAGCCCACGTCAGGAGAGCTGTCGGGATAAATAGGGTCCCGCAATGGCCGTGGCGGGCTACGCTCGGTGCTGCGGTGTCCGAGACTGGAGCTTCTCTGGGCGAGTTTGCTCCCCAGAGGCCGAGTGCTGGCACTGCCGGTTCTCTGTGCTCAGGAGCGCGATCAGCCACCAGATCCCGCGGCCCCCTATTGCAGGCGACTGAAGTTTGGGAAGGAAAGCCTTTTTGCGCCCCAAAAGACTTGCTCCTCGGAGAAGGGACAGCAAAAGACCAGCGGGGCAGGAAGAGAAGAAACCTTTCTACTTGTGGCAGTCGCAGCTCCAGAGGGCAGTGCCATGCTCCTCTCGGTCCTGGTGGCGCTGTGCCTGTGGCTGCGCCTGGCTCTGGGCGTGCGCGGCGCGCCCTGCGAGGCTGTGCGCATCCCCATGTGCAGACACATGCCCTGGAACATCACGCGGATGCCCAACCACCTGCACCACAGCACACAGGAGAACGCCATACTGGCCATCGAGCAGTACGAGGAGCTGGTGGACGTGAACTGCAGCGCGGTGCTGCGCTTCTTCCTCTGTGCCATGTACGCACCCATCTGCACCCTGGAGTTCCTGCACGACCCCATCAAGCCTTGCAAGTCCGTGTGCCAGCGCGCGCGCGACGACTGCGAGCCGCTCATGAAGATGTACAACCACAGCTGGCCCGAGAGCCTGGCCTGCGAAGAGCTGCCAGTCTATGACCGTGGCGTGTGCATCTCGCCAGAGGCTATAGTCACGGACCTCCCGGAGGGTAAGGAGGCACCTGGAGGTGCCTGGGGTTAGGCTGGCACTGCCACATAGGAACCAGGCAGCCACACCTAAGGCTGCCAGTTGGTGGTCAGCCTCCCTGCCCCCCACCTACGGCACTTCAATGTGACTTGGAAGAGGTGGGATGGACTTGGGGAAAGACTACTTCACAGAAGTTTCGCCAAGTAGCACAAGGGTCCTAGGAAGTGGGTATGGGGCAGCCTTTGCTTTCAAGGAAGCCTTTGGTAATGTTTTTTCTTTACACTGAAAACAGAAATAATAGCAGCAAACAAATATTACTGTGTTTGTGTGAGCCAACTCATCAATGCTTAAAACCAGTCCCACCAGATAGGGGCTAATACTATATTTAGTGCTACCTACTGGAAGTTCTTCCTGAAAAGAAGTCATGATCAAGCCCCACTGGGAGTGAGGTTTGTAAATGCAGTCACCCTGGAAAAGGGTGACGTGTTTCATGGTCATTGACCAGGAGCCAGGAACTGTGGCATCTTAGTTAATCTGATCACTGCTTCACTTCCTTCATATTTCTCTTTGGTCGTTTTGCTGCTTTTGTTGTAAGAGACAAGTCTAAATGCCCTTCTTGAAATGAAACTAAGAATATTGCCTTATTTTATACAGGCTTGCCCTAAGCCTGGTTACTTCGCATTTAAGAATCATGGTGGTGTTTAGTGTCCTCTCTGAAGTTATATCTCAGAGCATTTTGCTCTGAACGTGAAAGAGGATCTGTTAAGTGAAGAGGCAAATTGAAACTCCTCCATATATATACATATATATATATGTATATACATATATATCCTCCATATATATGTATATACATATATATATATGTATATATATATATATGTATATACATATATATCCTCCATATATATGTATATATATATATATGTATATATATTATATATATTTATATAGCTTAAATCTTATAAATGATACTTTGGGTTATGCAGTTGTGGACTGTTCATACTTTGCAAAATGTGAAGTGAAGATTTGGAAACAGTCTGATTATTTTGCTTGGCAAAGTATTGACTTGGAAAATCAGCATTTCAATAAGGCTTTGGGAAGGAGTGGTGTGATTTATCCAGGTTGCCTAAATTGATTTATCCAGGTTGCCTACTTGGATAGGCAAAGTACAAACCTGAAAGACCTCTTTCCTAAGCCCAGGAATGGCATTTGGAAAAAATCTCTGACAATCACATGCCATTTTTACTCCTTAGTACTATTCTATTGCACTACTGTCTAAGTTTATATTCTCAGAAGTTCCTTTATTCTGGTTGGATGAGGACAGCCAGTCACTGAGCACAGCCTTATGGTCCTGTTTGTATTTCAGATGTCAAGTGGATCGACATCACACCAGATATGATGGTACAAGAAAGGCCTCTTGATGTTGACTGTAAACGCCTGAGCCCTGGTGAGTTCTTTCCCCATGGCTCCCTCTCCTTCTCCCTGGAGTGATTTCTGTTCCCTTTTCCAACTTTTTGTCTCTCTTTTGCCTCTTTTAGATCGGTGCAAGTGCAAAAAGGTGAAGCCAACTTTGGCAACATACCTGAGCAAAAACTACAGCTATGGTAAGTCATCTGACAAAGCCATCTACTTTAAGAGTCGGCACATTAGGAAACCAAAAATCACCATTGTGTCCCAGATCTGCTAGTCATGAAGTGAAAAAGACCACTGATGATTTTTCTGGTTAATTATGTGGGTATAAAGCTTCTTGCTTTCCTGGGTTAATCAAATGAAACAAAAAAAGTAAATGACTCAGGTGAGAGCAATTGCATAGACCAAAGTTTGACAACTTGCTCCTATTTATCTTGGTGAGAGTGCTTCTTAGAAAATGCCACACAACCCTTTTTCCCTTCATATGGTTCTGTTGGTGCAGGGTCCGTGGAGATGATTATCTGAGGCCCAGAAAATTAAGACCTGCTCATGTGTCTTTTTTACTTATTATAAATAGCTACAAACTGTGAGGAGATATATTAACCACAAAGCATAGAGCTGCAGTGTTAAAATAGTTTAAATGCTCTCTTTCTTCGTTGGGAAAATCATTCATGCCTTTCTTCAGAGAAAAAGGTCAATTATGATATCTTAAATATTTTAAGCATTTGTAATTCTACTATCATCATTCATCATTTGAAAGTAAATTTAACCAAAACTATGTTCTTTCAAAAAGTCTACGTGGGCTATTTTATAGTTTGTTGCATTTCATAAACTATTTCTCTTGAAAAAATTGAAAACTTTTGGGGAAAATGTTCAGTTTTTTTGTTGACTTAGTTTTCATATTCCAAATTGAAACTTTATACCAGCAAGAAATTTTCGATTCTTTATCACACATGAAAGCAGGAGGATTGTGGTGGTACAGAAATCTGGAAAAATTACCTATATTTACTTGTCAAATTTAAGAATCATACGTGCCACTATAAGTAATTCAACAACAATAACAAAAAGTACACTATCTTTTCAAGTATTTTTTTTTCCCTTGAAATCTATTCAATGTAGATATTGTCTTAATTTGACTCACTTAGTCCTTTTTCTGTCAAGATCCAGCTTTAGATGAGAATCAGAGTATCTCTGTCAAGCTGTTCTCTGGAGTGTCATGCCTGGCATCCACCTTGATGATATAAGATTTACTTTGCAAGTGCTTTTGGCTCCTCCATGAGACAATATCCTACGATTGAATCCAAGAAATATCCATATTTAGGCTGTTTGCATTTCCACAGGTGGTAGTAATAACAGCAAGAAACCAAAGAAGCCAGAATTTAAAACCTGATCAAAGATAGTAACATTAACAGCCATCTGTGATAACAATTCTACTTCTGTTTACTCAGGGCCTTGCTTTGTCAGTCTGTGAAATTACAGGATTAAGGACAGCAATCCTTAGAGATTCCTTGCAATTGGTAAAAGTTAGGACTCTAATAACTTTCTTTGCAAACTAGAAATTCAAGCATCAAATGGGTGACTGAAGGGAATACAGACTTGACAATGATAAATCTGAGACTATTTAATACTGCAAATCATCACAAACAAATGAATATATTTCTATGAAATTTTCTCTGACCCACAGTCCCTGCCCAGACTAAGGCCCACTTTTTTATTTGCTCTTCCATCTTGCTGTGTAATTCAGAACTTTTATGATAATGTAGATAATATGGGATGCCTGGCGTTCAGCATCTCATATTATCAACATTATCATAAATGGAAAAAAAGACTGTGGGCTTTTTTGCCTACACTGGGCCTGGTTGGACATGACCATAATTACAGGAGTGATTTTTTAAGAGAGGCTCAGGATTTGGCTTCAATACAACATCCCTAGTTTTTCCCCCAAAGTTTGGACAACAGCACTTATATAAATTTTTAAATTGCAGTTATTCATGCCAAAATAAAAGCTGTGCAGAGGAGCGGCTGCCATGAAGTAACAACAGTGGTGGATGTCAAAGAGATCTTCAAGTCCTTGTCACCCATCCCTCGAACACAAGTCCCGCTCATAACGAATTCTTCCTGCCAGTGTCCACACATCCTACCCCATCAAGATGTCCTCATCATGTGTTACGAGTGGCGCTCAAGGTAGGAGGAGCTGTACACAGCTCAAAACATGAATCTCATTTAGCAGTCATGTTTTTACCAACAACAAAACCGTGCTAGTAGTCATTTTTTAAAAAATAGTTTAGATAGATGTCTCCATTAGGATATTATGTATCCAAAATATCAGTTAATTCCTAAACTAGATCTCTTAAATATCCAGTTAATGGAATGAAGGAAAATTAGACATATGAATATTTCAATAAAATTTTTAAGAATCTTTAAGAATCCATCAAGTCATTTTTAAAACATACAGGCAAATAAATCACTTTGAGTAAGAATAATTCTTTTTAAATCATCCAATCTTGCTGTGAAAAATACTGAATTTTTAAAGTCCTCTTTAATAATTTAGAGGTCAAATAAGTAGCCATCCAAGATTATGGTTCCATACATTTTGCTAATATATACTACAAAATATTTGTCTGATAAAACACTGCGTGCACGTGTGCACGCGGGCGCACACACACACACACACACACATACAAACTTTAAGGTGACTTCTGAATCTAACAATGTGTGATTGTCAACTCAAATCATCACAAGGCAAAGCATAAACAAATTCGTATCATGCACACACACATATACACACATCTGTAGCTGGGAATGCTTGTCTTTCCCACCTCCCTTTCCCACTCTTCTTTCCATACATCAGTACATTTCTTTTTTTATTATTTTTTCTTTTATTTATATGTACAGTAGATTTCTTACAATATGAATTTGAACTCTTTAGCTCAGGTTCCAAGACAGGTTCCAAAACTTGCCGCAATATACTTCTCCAGAAAAATCACTATTTTTATATAAAAAGTTAATTCTCTGCCGTTTGTGCTATGTGTTTCTTCTAAGTGCAGTCCAAGGCCTCATTCTTCCAAAAAGAAAACAGAAACAAGCTGGCCACCAGTAGCTCATATCCATAATCCTACCTACTTAGAAAGCTGAGATCAGAAGGATTGTGATTCAAGGCCAGCCTGGGCAAAAAGTTCTGATTGGGTGCACCTGTCATCCCCGTGGCTGAGAGAAGCTTAAAATAGGAGAGTTGGGGTCCAGGCTAGCCTGAGCAAAAAGTGAGACCCTACCTCCAAAATTACCAAAGCAAAAAGGGCTGGAGGTATGGCCGAAGCTATAGAGCACCTGCTTAGCAATCCTGTAGCCGTGAGTTCAAATCCCAGTACAGCCAAAAAATATAAAATAAAACAAAAAAGCAGAAACATCTTTTGAGACTGACCTCACTTGAGTAATTTCTTGTTCTGTATTCCATCCATACTTGTATGCATCCAATATGCTACTTTGTGTTTCTGGCTTTCAAGACTTCCTTCTTCTTATATCTTGTGTCTGTCTTGCCTGCTATTTCTGTCTACTACAGTGCTAGATACAGTTGGGGAAAATGCAAAACCTCAAGCCCAATTTCTGTTAGGACAGATGAATGGACTAGAAGTCCACCCTAATACATATTTTTGCATGATTAGTATTTATGTCTTCACAAATGATCTTCATTATTTTGGGGGGGAAATGGTAAGAGCATGTAAAGGAGATTCTGAAAAGAAGAGTGATGGGAAGAGATCTAAAACTGGTACAAAGCTCCACTTGTCAAAACCAAGGGGTGCAAGAGTAGATAAGTAAAATAGAGGAACACTCTTGACACAATTCCAATGTGTAAAAGAAGTTTTATTATGAAGGAAATAAGGCAATATGAAGAAAATATATTTTTTAACAAATTTTGCAAATATTCTCATTTGGAAAAATAGTATTTTTTTCACTTTATACTGTACTATAAAATAAATTTTAAATAGACTAAACTGATTAAATTATTTAAAAAATTAATCACAGAGGATAATATTAGGTGATTAAATATGTGATATTTGAAAAGCAAAGTGTTTTGTAATCATAAAAGTAACACAAGAAATTCCAGGGGAAAAATATCAATACCCATATTTGGCCACATAATACTGTGTACATAAAAATCGCAAATAAAAGTAGAAAGGCAAATAAAAACCAACAAAAATCCTTTGCAATGGATATGAACTCTAAACAGTTCGTACAATATAGGAACATGTGTGCATAAACCCATACAAGCACACGCAATAAAAAATAACTTGTAAATAAGCATTTAAGATTACCTTCTCAATTCCCAAAAACGAATGATCAGAAGACTCCATTTTTACATAATTCTTAACGTTAGTAAATTGGGTAAAACTACAACCATTCGGAAAACAACTTGGCACTCTGTGTTGAAAATACCCTTTTGATTCAGTTATTTTAAAACAGGGAGCCAATGCACATTACCCCATACAACAACAGTCAGCATACTATCGGTAATGAGAGCTGAGCAAGGCGTGAATTCCCTACAGAGCAATGGCTAAATGGATGTCCGTAGTTGCATTATTAGATTATTTAAAGTTAATTTTGGGGTTTTGTTAATTATACTAGAAAATGAATATGATGAAAGGAAATGTACAGTGTGATCTAAATATACAATGTGATCTAAAGTGTGCATATAGGGGCAAAGAAGAATGAGAGGAAATATAATAAAAAATAAATGAATAATTAAAAAAATAAATAAATGGTGAATTACTGAGATAAGGGCTATTGAAGAATTTTTAAGTAACTTTCTGTATTTATTTCCATAATGAAAAACTGCTTACTGCAATAAATTGCTGTTTTACAGGATGATGCTTCTTGAGAATTGCTTAGTTGAAAAGTGGAGAGATCAACTTAGTAAAAGATCCATAGTAAGTATCAATAGCAATACTGAACATGGACACGAATGCATTTGAAGGAACTCTGTAGGATTTGGGAATTCTTCACAATCTCTTATCTCCTTGCTCACACAGGAACCAGAACTAAACCAGTATTTGTCTTTCAAATAGGAAGTTAAGAAGTATAGCTATTCTAGCTGGCAGAGTGACTTGAGTGATAGAGCACCTGCCTAGCAAGCATGAAGCCCTGAGCTCAAACCCCAATACAACTTCCTCCCACCCCCCTCAAAAATACAGCTATTCTTACTTGGAGTTTTTATCAGAAATCTGTCATCCAACTTTGTGTTCGATTCTAGTGTACTGGTTATTTCCAGATTAAATTAGGATTTTTATTTATTGTATTGCAATTTAATTGCTTTAGTGAACAGTAACAGATACTTAAGCAGAATTAGTATCTACTGGATTAAAACCAACATATATTTGTAGGATTATAAATACCAAATTCTAAAACTCATACCGTCACTGTACATACCAGAATCTTTCCCTATATTTGAATTAATAACAAACTTTTGTAAAAAAAAATTTTTTAAAGATCATATGCCAAAATTACTTCATGGCCAGATCCATTTTAGTAGTAACATCAGACAGGTAAGTCAATTACAGGAGTTAGAGTAGGTTTTTTTGCCCCCAAATTAGAACTCATACCAGAGATAAAAAACAGCAGGTAACTGATTTAAATGTTTTAAAAACATTCTCTTTCCTGAAAATAAGTTTAAACATATTCTGGAGAATTTACATTTTCAGGTTCACAAAACGGACTGCTCCTGCCTATGTTCTCTCAGTTTACAGGAATAAAGATTCTTGGGTAAGGCAAGGATGCATTTTGAGTTGATTTCTAGAGAACAGAGTTACAATAGTACCTGCAGACTCCACGAGTGTCTGAATAACAGAGCAGAAGGCTACTTTGTGAAATCTGAGCTACCACTCATGACTAGTGACTCACAGATGCTCATGTCTGTTATTAGACAGGAAGTTCTAGCACAATTACTGATCTGGTTTTTAAAACGACAGTGGATTAGATGCATCAGTGGAGAAGGACCTGAGGTTGCTGAGAGAAAAGAAATCTTTCAAGAATCAGATCTGAGCAGCCCATTCAGCTGGTGGTAAATCTTCCATACTTCATTAAAAATTTGAAAATAATCTCCATATCAGAGCAACATATAGCAATGATTTTATTATTTTAGAACAGACTAGAATTATGCCCTTAGGAGGACCAAGACAGTATTTTCCTTTTCATTGCATATGTACTGCTTTGAACTGTGTCTGACCTCCTGCTCAGTTTTTTTTGTTTGTTTGTTTGGTTGGTTTGATTTGGTTTTTTTTTTGTTGTTTTTTGGTAGTACTAGGGTTTGAACTCAAGGACTCATGCTTACCAGACAGGTGCTCTTCCATTTGAGCTATGCCCCCAGTCCCTTTTTTGCTTTAGTTATTTTTTTGGATAGAATCTTCAGGGGTTTTTGTTGTTGTTGTTGTTGTTGTTTTTACCGTACTGTGGTTTGAACTCAGGGCCTCACACTTGCTAGACAGGTACTCTAGCCCTCGAGCTATTCCACCAGCCCTGTTTTGTGTTGGGTATTTTCAAGATAGGGTCTCTCAAAACTATTTCCCCATGCTGGCCTCAAACAATCCTCCTGATTTCTGCGTTCTGATTAGCTAGAATTACAGGTGTGAGCCACCAGCACCTGGCTAGGTCTTGAGTTTTTGCCATAAGCCAGCCTTGACTGTGATCTTCCAACTTGAATTCTCTTATTGATCTTCTCACTTAGCTGGGATTATAATCAGATATGTATCAACATGCCCAGTGTATTTGTTAAAACGTGATCGCACCAACGTTTTGCCTAGACTGGTCTTGAACCTGAACCTTCCAGACGTCTGCCTCTAGAGTAACTGAGATAATAGACAGGAGCCACCTGCACCTGGCCTCAAAATTTTTATTGAATAAAATATGCTGTCATTAAGAAGGGACATGTGTGTGATAGTATAAAGCAGTGTCTATTCAAGTGCACTGATTTTCAGTTGTTTCTCACATGAGCTATCTTAAGGAAATGTTAAATTACATGAGCCATTTAAAGAAAAATTTAAATAGTCTCAGGGTAACTTGATTATATCCAGAATGACTCATTTCTCATGGTCTGGAAGCTAGCACTTTAGTGGATAGCACAATCCCTATTTATCCTCAGGTTCCTACTCTACTGTTTGATACCTGGTTCATTACCTGCAGTCAATCACAGCCAAAAACTACAGTGCAGGATAATGGTATATTTTGAAATAGAGACCACATTCACATAAATGTTATTATAGTATAGTATTATAATTGTTTTATTTTATTACTGTCAATAATCCTTTACTGTGCCTAATTTATAAATTAACCTATATCATAGGTAAGTTTGTGTAAGGATAAAAAGCATAGACTATGTGGAGTTCAGTACTAGAATGGGCACTTTACTAGTAGGTAAAGAGCTGGTGTTTTAGCAAAAGTGGCCCTCAAGTTTCTGCAAAGTAAACTAGAAAACTGTTATCACGACCCCCATGTCGGAGGCATTACCTTCAGCAAACTCAGTGGTGTGACCTCCAAAATCAGTGACTTTTAAGTCAAGTAAGAGCAAATGTTGTGATTTTTCTTCTAACAGATTGATGTCAGAGTGGATTCTGTAGGCTTACTGAGGGCATTTTATGGAACCACCATATTTCCTTTGTACCAGTTCCCCTTGTCTTTGTTTGTCATTTGTATATCCATCTTGAACCCCAATAGTTTCAACTTGGTTTAGTCATAAGGGACTCTGAATCTATGAACACTCTGGCCTTTTGTCTAATCTAGTGTTCTATGACAAAGCTGTCGAAGTTTGCTTTTAATGAGTAATACAGACCCAGCATTTATTTTCCTTTTGTCCCCCTTGCAGTGGTCCCTACCTGTTTCAGCAAGACCCCCCTAATTTTCCAGAGATGCTGGGTAAATTAGTGGTTTTAGCCATGGCAAAGCCTTTTGAGAAGGCTTGGCTGTATAGGAATGTTCAAAAGTGCACACGTGAGTGGCTTTGGCTCTGGAAAGATTGGGTGAATTTGAATCCCAGGTCAGACCTTTCCCAGCTGTGTGGCCATCTGTAAATAACCTCAGTGTGCTTGTTTACTGTTTGTGACAACGGTGCCCACCTAGAATAGCTTTTGTGAATTTCAAAGAAGTGAATGCTTATTAAGACTCCATCACATATTGGACACTTTCCAAATCAATCAACATGTTGGTGCTAAACATAGGGTAGTTATTATAATTTTGGTGGTTGTGATATTGCAGTCAAAATTGCACTGATATAAAAATTGTACTGATAAATTCTGATATTAGTTTTACAGCATAAAGGGGGGTGATGTACTTGACAGTCATGTTTACAAATTGCCTCCCAGCAGTGGGAAGAGAGGCTGCGAGAACAGCAGAGAACAATTGAGGACAAGAAGGGAACAGCTGGACGTACCAGTCGTAGCAATCCCCCCAAACCAAAGGGAAAGCCACCTGTTCCCAAACCAGCCATCCCAAAAAAGAATATTAAAGCTAGAAGTGCCCAAAAGAAAACAAATCCAAAAAAAGTGTGAGCTAATTGCTTTCCAAAATGGAGACTTCCTTGCCGGAGGAGACCAGGCATCACCTAGGACAGTCCACGTAAGGCCACATGCTCCTTGCAGCACGTGACTGCAGCATTCTTCATAGACACATCTTGCAATAATTTTCTTAATGATATGCTTCACTTTTTCTTCCTAAGCCACACAAACCATGTGAGTGGTTTGCTGGTTGGTATGGAAGGTGTAATAAATAAAGCTGGTGAGAAAGTCTTTTGCAGGCCTGCATGCATTCTCTGTGTGACCTCCATGTAGGGAAGATGTGCTTCTGTTCTTACAGTTTGACTAAATACATGCATTGTAAAATCAATGCTGTATTTGAAACAAAACACTTAATGTTTTGACAAATATATTTTATTTCCATTTCACTTCTGTTAGAACGTTAGTATATTTTAAAATGTGATTGAAAATATAATGCCTCTGAGGAAAACAAGAGAAATGAATGTTGAAAAGATTTCCATGTGTTTATTGTCTGTTTGCAGAAGGATTTTTCTGACGAATAAGGATTTCTAAAAAATCTACAGAAGCAGGATGTTGATAATTGTAGTGTGTGTTTATAAGAAGACTTACCAGTTCTGTTTTTAGCTAGAAACTCTAAAAACTTAAATAATAATGGCAAATAATTTTTTTTTAAAAATAGAGGCAGACAGACAATGCCTGGGTTCTTGTTTTCTGGCTACTATGTCACAGTGGGGATCTTATGCTTGTGATGCTTCTCATCAATCTCGTCTAAGTAGCACCTGAAGCAGTGAGTTTGTTTTGTCCCATTATGATTGAAATGCCAAGTAGGATGCCAACCCTCCAAGTATCCTAAACCCACAACAAGAGAGGTGAGATGCTCATCTCACTTCCTCACACATGTTAGTATTGTGTCTGCCAAGCAGGAGAGAATTTTCTCTTTGCACTTGCAGGTGCTCACAGCAGTGCTTTGGGGGCTGGGTTACGTCTGCCAGGATGACTCTCAGCCTGCTATGACATATTCACCACACACCACCAAATGATGCAGAGCAAAACCACTGATGTAGCCACTATATGTGGAAATAGCAGAACAACCTGAAAGTGTAAGACCCGTTTCTCTTTTAGATTTACCATTGTCCCTAGAACAATGTAGGTTACAGTCACACTGATATTTAAGAAGATGATTTCATTTCATCTTTATATTTATTGGGACACAGAAGTGAGGTGTATAGGAGAAATAGCTAATCTGGTGTGTGCACCTGCTGCCTCCTGAAAGCTTAGCTTTGCCTGTGTTGCTACCCAGAATGGTAGAGTTAAAGGAATACTACATAAGGATACTGATAAAATACTCAGTGTGTGACCTTGCTGTATTAATGCTTAACCTATTTGGCCCGTAAGGAAAGCCTATTTGCTGTTTTGCATAAGCATCCCTGAAAAAGCTATTACAATCCACTGTAGTCTATCTGACCTCATTAAGACAGGAGGGATTCTGTGGAAGAGAGGAATTAGAAATGGAGCTGTCCATTCTATAGAAAACAAGGAAAAATACTTATGTAAAAAGTATTTTAAGTATAAAAATAAATGTAATAAAAGTTTGGGGATGATTTTACAAAACAAAGGAATGTTTGAATTGAATAATTATCTGAAATTATATAGTGATTATAACACAAAAACTTAAGTTAGGCTTCTTTATGAATCTGAGTAGTAGTATGGAAAAGTTGAAAATGAGTGCCAGCCTACATTGAGGTGGTGTGACAAGTATGGAGGTCGCCTTTTGTGAATGGCAAAAATTGGATTTTCTCAAATATTTTCTTCACTTAAATACATGTGAGTAGAGCTAAATACAGATAGCAAAAGCGAAATTCTGTTTCTACAAATGGTAACTATTTGAGAGTTGGGGGTGTTTGCAACATTGTCAGCAAGTTTCATAAGTGTGGTTAACTGGAGGTATGTCTTTAAAATTTTTTGTTGATCTTTTGATAATGCAGTAAACATGTATATGCATTCAATTTACAAATGGAAATTTATAAGTTCTGTTTTTAAAGATGGAATTAAATCCCTACTTAATACCATTTTCACTACACAGGGGTGGTAACTATTAAGTTTTAGAATATAATTCTCCAGGTATTTCTTCCACATTTATATGATGATTTGACAAAAGTAAAAATTGGAGCCTGGTACACATTCTGTTTCATAACCTGCCTTCTTCTCTTGGCCCTTTAATATAAAGATTCATTTTCGTGTGAATAAAGTTGATGACACTTCATTTGTAATGGCTGTGTTCTGTTCCATGTTTTGCATCACTAACAAACTTTTATTTCATCAAGCAGTTAGGTTGGCTCATACTGAATGTAGTGTAATAAACATCAGTGATAGCCAATATCTGTGCACATCCTTAACTAATTCCTTAGGTTAAGTTTAAGTAGCATTGCTGGGCCAAGGATTATCCTCAACAAGAAAATTTTCTGGTCATATGTCAGTTGTGCTCCAGAATACTTGAATGATAGATGTATGAAAGTTCTGACTTTCAAACTCCCCATCTCCCAATAATTTTATAAATTATTGCAATTAGAGGACCCCTCGAATGAACTCCTTCCCTTCAATTGTGAACCATCAGCTCCAACCGTCTGAATAATTTCAACACTCCAGGTAGCTGCAGAAATGAGGGACTGGGTTTCTAAAAGGGGATGTGTGTGTGTGTGTGTGTGTGTGTGTGTGTGTAGACACATGTCTATATAGACACACACATATATAGCCAATAGGTAAATGGATTATAGATGATAGGTAGGTAGAGAGAGAGAGAGAGAGAGAGAGAGAGAGAGAGAGAGAGAGAGAGAGAGATAAAGACAAACTGCTTAACTACAGGGAAAAACCTATGCAACCTCAGTTTTGTAATAAATCAAATTTAACAATATAATTGGTTAACTGGAAAATCTGAAAAAGCACAGTGTAACAAATAGGACTAGATTTCCTCTCTGCCCAAGCTATTAAGGTACAGGAAAACTTACATAAATAGCTTTAGCTCTTAAATCACGTTTTCCAGTCTGACCACACTTTTGGTTTCTGTCCTTGGATGCCCATAAGATTGTCCATTGCACATCCACAATTGCAATAGCTGACAGGTTTTTGTGTTTGGGGAAACCAGTTCTTGGGTGAAAAGAATGACACATTTTTGCCACAAGTCTCAACCTTCTGTTATCACCATTTTAAAAGCCAAAAATGATTGTTTGAAATGAAATGAAAAATTTGAAGAGGACTGAGAAGTCATCATCTGCCTTGCAGAGAAAAGGTTGTGTGAGGGCTTGTCTGTGAAAGACCTGGGCCCCCAGAGTTCCTAAATTTTAATTTTCTAGGCCATAATCTACTTATTATTTGGCAATATACACCTGGGTTATTAGAAGGGTGCTCATTTATTACACTACAAAGAGCAATAAAAGAACAATTCCTGCTTCTGGTTAGAGTCTAATACATGCTAATACCATTTTTCCTAGTGTAAAAATACTTTTGAGAAGTATTTTATAATAATAAAGTCTCATTATGTTATTGTTAGTGGCATGCCAACCAAAAACTTCTGTTAATTGTTGACTTAGTCATTTGGTCCTGCAGACCAGTGTAACAGCTAGGATAGGGTTTCTAATTTCATATCAGTGACCCAAAGCATATGCCTGACTCTAGGATAGCAATGAAATATTCCCCTCCATTTTCATTATTTGAACAGAGATAATCAAAAAGAGAAAGGAAACAGAAATGCTTAAAATGTCAAAGTAGCTACCCCAAATATCAAAGTATTTTGGTGTAAATCTTTCCTGACTTTTTTCATGTTCTGTGTATACATTTAATAATGTAATTTCAAAATCTTCCCATACAAAGAAATTCAACTGCATGTTTATTTTTCAAAGGTGCATAACATGAATGCTGAGTCTATTTTGCCAATAACTTGTGAGAATGGACTATTAAATATAGACATGTTAGGGAGAATATTATTTAATTTTCCACTATTATTGAATTCTCAATACTAAAAATATTAGACACAACGGAATACAAGTTATAAATGCTTTCAGCACATTAACCCCTTGATGGCTTTAATTATTCTTGTCATATTGGTGTTAATCACTCTTCGAGTTTATGATAGCCCTAATTCAAGCTTACGTTTTCACACTCCTAGTTATCCTTGACCTTCATTATAATACTTGATAAATCACCAGACCCTCGCTTATCATAGAGATAATCCTAACCCAAATAATCACAGTACATTATCAGCCTGTGGTTTAGAAATATGATTTCACTTTAGCTATTCTAAGATCCATACTTTCATTAGCACAAATATTAACAGTATGCCATTGATGATGACATGTAATCCAAGAAAGCACATCACAAGAGTTTACACGTTCATTGCTCAAAAAGGCCTGTAGTACATACATTGTTTTGCACACATTGCAAGTTAGCACAAAAATACTATTAGAGAGATATGGAATATAGAGTTGCTTAACATCACATAGACATGCAGACTTAAAAACTCTTGTTCATATGCGTGGAGAAGCAGGTGCTTAAACAGAATCAAATGCGCAAGGATTCCATTAGAGGAAATGCCTGTGAGAGATGGGGAGGAAGTTGGTAGAGCTTGGAGAGCTTTCAGAAAACAATGCATGTCCACTCTGAGTAAAACACACAGGGAGGAGACAACTGGATGGAAACATTCCAAGTTGCAGCAATATCTGAACATGGTTGGGCAAGGCCATGAGGAACCATGAGCCATTAAGGGGCCCTTACCTCCCAAGGACAGTTCTACTAAAGTATCCCATTGCACTGTCACTGACTATGAGCACCTCGTGGTACTACAGTCATGGTGCAGAAGAGGCAATGGATTTCGGTGAGCAACAGCTGAAACCTTTTTTGTGAGCTATGGCCTATGATTCAAATTCTCATGACCACCATTGTGGCAACCATAGAAATATTAAAATTTTACTAAAATTTTTGTTGGGTCAATAAAATGTGTCTCTGTTGATTTCTGTAGTTAGCATCAATACACTATTTTAACCCCTAAACCTTAAAGATTTTTATACCTTCATGCTTTTTTTTAGGTTTTTCTATTTCAAAAATTATTGGAGAAAGAATATGCTGAGCAGAAGTACAGATCTTACAGTATTTATTTGCTCTTTTCTCTAAAAGACATCTCTTTCTGCTAAAATGCAGAAAATAATTTTAAGAAGTAATTAATGGCAGTAACAAAGTCTATGATTGTAACTTTAGCTTTACAGGTTTAGATAGCACAAACATAAGTCTAATAGTTTAGTGGTGGCATCACTAAATGAAGTCAGTTTTATAACTA